AATATGATTTATTACACTTGTTCAAATTTGCTATGTTTTTTTTACTATCGGCGCTTGCTCTATTCGAAGACTCTGTTATCGTAACATTCTTCCTTGCTTGTTTATATGTAAAACACGCCTGATAGCGCGACAACTACAAAAACATCTTTTCTACTAAGCATAAAAAATCATTCTCCCATATATTGTGTTTAATAATTGTTTTTTTATTCAGGACCAGTACAGTTTCCAATGTCCCCACCTGCAAGTTTCGAAACCAGTGGCGTAGTCATCGGAGCTTCTGTTACGGATTCGTCCCTTCAAGCCGAGGATTGCCCAGTAGGTCTTAGACGAGTAGCAAACCTTAAATCTTAGACACAAACCTAAAAACCAAACACCTCACCCATAGAAATGTAATAGTAACCACATTTATTTATAGTAACTGTAGATGGAGATACATTAACACGTTAATTGCCATAGAAAAATGGAGCTTTAGAAAATTTTTTGATAAATCAAGTTTTTTTGTAACAAATGAAGTTACTTAGCACATATTCTTGTGGCGATTAACGTGTTACAAAGTGATACTAGACCAACACTTGTAGTTGATTCATGATCAATAATTCGTAACTAAAGTCGTTTTTCATCAGCTGTTATTATTTTTTATGCTATTTATTTATTATCAAATTGATTTTAACTGATATGATGCATATTTTTGCATTCATTGATTATAAACAGATGATGACTAGACTTGGTGTAGAAATTTTGACACTATTTAGTATAATTTACGGGGCAATTCTGCCTCATAACACAGCATTGTCTAGATCTTATGCTTGTTTCTTGGTAGTGAAAACTGTAAAAATGTCTATGTATTTGCTGTGCGATCAGGCGTACTTTACATATAAACAAGCAAGAAATAATCTCATAATAACTGTACCATCCATTTTGTTATCGTAATATTATTCTTTTGTTTATATATAAAATGCGCCTGATCGAACAGCAAATACAAAGACATTTTCACAGTTTCACTAGTTGCTATGGGAACGCTATGTTTTGAGGCAGAATTGCTCCTTTAGTTTAGTTTTAGTATAGAAAATAGTAGCAAACAAATTTTTAGTAAGTAGTTAGTTCCAATATATGAACAATTTTAGCTCTATTTTTTTGTCAGAAAGAATTTTTAAATTGTTCTTTATTTTTTTTAAATATCTATTTAAACAGTTTAGCTGATATCCTAATTTTTTTATTTGTTTAATCTTATATTTTCGAAAAATTTTAATTGGTTATATTTTTAAACGTGCAAGATTTTACACATTTTTATTTCTAAAACCAATAATTTAATTTGATAAATTTGTTCTTTACTAAATTTCGATTTTCCTAAATGTTTTATTTAAATTTAGAATGCTAAATATTTTATTTTTTCTTGAATTTTTTTATTAAATATTTTATTTATCTTAATTTTTTTTATTTGTTTAATATTATATTTTTAAAAATTTTAACTTATATTTTTTTACGTGTGCGATTTTCAAAATTTCAAATATTTTTATTTCCAAAGCCAATAATTTAATTTGATAAATTTGTTATTTTCTGAATTTTCATTTTCTTAAATGTTTTATTTAAAATAATTATATTTTACATTTTCTAAATTTCAACTTTCCTAAATTTTCTAAATTTTCTAAATTTTGTTTATATACTAAATCAATTAATATACTAAAATTCCTAAAATTTACATTCTCTAAATTTCAACTTTTCAATAAAAAATCGTATAATTTTTGATTTTCTAATCTTTGTATTTTTTAAATTTGAGATTACTTGAATTTTTATCTCAAATTTTATTTGAAATATTCAGCCACATTTGCAACACCAATGGAAGCATTTATTCAATACTGGCAACACTTTACTGGAATTTTCTTTAAAATCTCAAATAAATTTTTGATTTTTGAAATCAATGTCGTTTTCAAATTTTTATTTCCCAATTTTTTTATTAAATAATATTCACATTTCTAAAAAAATCAATTTCGCAAATTCTGGACCTAAAATTTGTAATTTCCTGAACTCCAAAAAATTATTATTTTGAATTTTGTTTGAAACCTTTAACCACTTGGCAAAACTTAAAAAATATCGAATATATTTAGCCTAACTGGGCAACACGAATAAAAACATTTATTCATTTCTGGCAACACTAAAAAACTTTCATATAGAAAATGTTTATTGATGGCTGATGAACTAACAATAAGTAAGTAGATAAATAAATTATTTAAATATTTATAACAAATTTGTAGATAATAATAAATATATATATGTATATTATTATACTAGTAATTTTATTAATAATTTTGCACTATTTTTAGTAGCAATTAGTGGTTTAAGTTTGTAATATATAATGACTTGTATAATAAGGGATGCACCGTTTGTATTACAAGAACATTTGCCACATGTTTCTTATCTTATAATAACAGAAATACGATATATATATATATATATATATATATATATATATATATATATATATGAGGGGTAAATTTAGAATAAATCCGCTTTACTCTGAGTGTTTTCAACAAATAACAGATGGCTCTAGTGTGCTTCAAATTTTAAAGCACATTTTCTCAACATTCAAGTATCAATTTTATATGTTAAAATATATCTTTTTAATGGAAAAAATGTCTTTATATATTTTTTACAAATGTAAATCACAAATCAATTTATCTCCAGAACATTAACAATCGTCATTTCATTTCAAATTCAATTTCAAAAAAAAAAAATAGTTGCCTAATTTACACAAAATTGAAAAAATGCTCCCGTATAGTCACAGTCTAAATGCATTTGCAAATAATTCTGTGCGACATTTTCACTTATACTGTGCTTAGCTTGGCGGCATTTTCACATTTTTCAATAGTTTTCGTTTTCACAAAATTGGAAAAGTGTTCAAGTACATAAACAGTCTAAATGCACTTGGGTAAACATTTGTACCAGAGTGGCGCTTAGACTGTGCTTAGCCTGGGTGATTTTTTGAATTTTTGTATTTAGTATTTTTCATCATCAACTGTATTTTACCAGACATGAAAATAAAAAGGATTCTACTGACAAGCAAACTATATTTTGCATTATATGAACTGACGAGCAAACTGAAATACTCGTCTGCTCGTCAGTAAAGTCGTCTTTTATATATTTTAGCTTTTGCTCGTCAGTAGAGTCCTTTTTTTAGTTCTAGATTAGTTTGCTCGTCAGCAGAGTCCCATTTTTAATTCTAGATTAGTTTGCTCGTCAGTAGAGTCCCTTTTATTAATTCTAGATTAATTATGCTCGTCAGTAGAGTCCTTTTTTTAGTTCTAGATTAGTTTGCTCGTCAGTAGAGTCCTTTTTTTAATTCTAGATTAGTTTGCTCGTCAGTAGAGTCCTATTTTATTTTTGTAATTCATTTTTCTAAACAGTAGAGTTTAATTTAATTTTCATAATAAAGTTTGCTCGTCAGTAAAGTTCTATTTTTTCGTAAATAACTTTGCTCGTCAGTAGAGTCCCTTTTTTATCTCTAGATTAAGTTTGCTCGTCAATAGAGTCGCTTTTTTAATTCAAGATTAGTTTGCTCGTCAGTAGAGTCCCTTTTTTATTTTAAATTAGTTTGCTCGCCAGTAGAGTTCCTTTTTTGATTTTAGATTGGTTTGCTCGTCAGTAGAGTCCCTTTTTTAATTCTAAATTAGTTTGCTCGTCAGTAGAGTCCCTTTTTTAATTCTAGATTAGATGGTGGAAGCGCCGGGTATTGTCTAACTGATTTATCACAATATACACATTGTTTTACAACCGTCTAATTTCGTAAAATGTTGCAACCGTATTAAATAGATGTCAAGTACAAGAAATAATTAATAAGAAAGCGCATTAACAATTTAACAACAACAATAAATAATAATAATAATAATAATAAACGTATGTTAAGCCATATGTCTTGTGTCTTGCAACGCTGAGCATCGGTTTCAATGTCGTTTGCATTTTTACATTTTAATTAAACGTGTGTGTTACGTAAATGCAACGTATGGGAATCGGATAGGTAACACGCATCAGGTAACACTAGATAATAATCCGTTGGAATAAATAGAATAAATAAAAGGATGGCAAACACACGGCCGCTTTGATAATAAATCAATTTTAATTCTTTTCCCACTCCATAGATGTCGCCACCAACCGTAGCACGTAAATTAACCTTTAGGTTCATATCTAGGATAAGAATAATATAAATATATATTATAGAAAAGATAAACCTGATTAATTTGACTAAATGAAATGAAAACAAAATATACGCGTACAAAATATTTGCAACAAAATGTCCCAAAAAGGGACTCTACTGACGAGCAAACTAATCGAGAATTAAAAAAAGGACTCTACTGACGAGCAAACTAATCTAGAATTAAAAAAGGGACTCTACTGACGAGCAAAAGCTAAAATATACAAAAAAGAGAGTCTACTGACGAGCAAACTTTATCTAGTATTAAAAAACGGACTCTACTGACGAGCAAAAGCTAAAATATACAAAAGGGATTCTACTGACGCGCAGACGAGTATTTCAGTTTGCTCGTCAGTTCATATAATGCAAAATATAGTTTGCTCGTCAGTAGAGTCCTTTATATTTTCATCTCTGGTAAAATACAGTTGATGATGAAAAATACTAAATACAAAAGTTTAAAAAATTACCCAGGTAAAGCACAGCCTAAGCGCCACTCTGGTACAAATGTTTACCGTAGAGTCTCTTTTTGTATTAGAATTTTAAATTAGCTTGCCAGTAGAGTCCATTTTTGTTTTGACATTTTAATTTGCTCGTCATTAGAGTCCTTTTTGTATAATTGGTCGTCAGTAGAGTCCCTTTTTTATGGATATTTGCTCGTCAGTAGAGTCCTTTTTTCGCAGATTTTTATATTCAGTTTGCTCGTCAGTAGAGTCTTTTTTGCAGATTTTTACAGAAAAACTCAGTTTGCTCGTCAGTAGAGTCCTTTTTTGCAGATTTTTACAGAAAAATTCAATTTGCTCGTCAGTAGAGTCCTTTTTCTTTAGATTTCTAGTTTCTAATTTATTAAACTCTAATTAAATCCATGTGGGCCGTTTAACGAAATATTTATTTAATTGGTGATTTTGACACTCAATGTATCTGTAATAAATTTGCCATCAAAATTAAAAGTCCGCTATCACAGATGGCGCAAGAATTTACATAATAATGAATAACGAAACTTTTAATTGATTTGCGGACTATCTAAATGTCAATATTAAGAGCTGAAATTTTCAGAGAATTTTCTTTTATCAATTTGGAAGCATTTGAGCCCTTGGGAGCAACAAAATTCGACAACAAAATTCGACAAAATCCATATTAAGGACCACCCTCTAATATTTTGTTTTATTTTGCACATTTGTAGTGTTAGTGGACAATTTTTATTAGCGGGGGGAGTAGTGTGGTAGCTCGAATTCTAAAACACAATGAGTAAGTGTTATCATT